AATGGATTTGTTCCCCTATTACATTCATACTTCTGAAACATATCATGTTTCCGTCTGGCCCATCTGCTCAAATATACAATGATAAGTCGTATCGCCCGACTAACCAAGGCTTCCCTCCTTCTCATGACAACGTTGTGATAATTAGCATACCCACCACTCCTTCTTCAGATTAAATGATACTTTTTTGAACACGAATTGTGACACAGAACTAACTAATACGGAGAAAAAGTAAGTTTGCAACGTCAATTTTCTGCTCATGTCCTCTCGTTCGCTTGTGGTTTGTAGCGAGTCAGGCTGAAATAGCACATTGCTTAAGTGGCCTCAATGCTCACTGTTCTTTATCGATGTTAGAGTGGATGTGCCGAGAGGCGCGCTATGACTTACCCATGTCCCGAGGATCGAATACAAAAGATAGTCCCCTAAGCCAACCGAACCTCCCGTCCCTCCGAAATCGATAAATTGGTAACAGAGTTGTCTAGGAGTGTAAAAGCATTGACTGGCANAACCTCCCGTCCCTCCGAAATCGATAAATTGGTAACAGAGTTGTCTAGGAGTGTAAAAGCATTGACTGGCACATCAACTGACTACCATGTGCTTGTATAGGCTACATAAGCAACAAAACGCTTCTGAATGCAAGCCGGCTGCCGCGGAACATTCTGAAAACGGGATTCATTAATGGCAAAGACATTACAGCACGCAGTGTAAATTAGAGTAACCATCGCTGAATATGTGAACAGGAGGACGGGACGGTATAGATAGTCATAGCGACGGAGCTGGTAAAGTAGTAGAGCGCGAGGGGTTCAGTCTAGATTACGTGAGGGTGGGTTTGTAGCAGCCAAGACTAAGACACTACAGGGATACCAGTTTGCTCTTTTGTATTACTACATTCTAAGTGTATGACTTCAAATCCGGCTCCTAGGTCTCACGGCTTACGTGGCTGGAAACTGCTCCTACAAAGAGGTGATCAGCAAATAAAGCTCTCAGATTTCCTCCTGCAATGCACTTAAGTGGTATTCTTCAATCCTGTGATCATACTGTCCATTTTGAACCAGAGTTCCGAGTAGTGCTATGCTTCGTGTCGGTAGAGCGAACACGACCCACTGGATTACTATGGATCGCGACGGGAACGAATGAAGACGTATCTGTGGCCTACAAGAGGAAATCGATGGCAAACGAGGCGACATTCGATACTGTATTTTATTGTTATGTGTTCAAAATTCAATCTCCAAAAATGTAAATAGTTATATAGCAGGCGAACCATGTACGCTTGTATATGGATTCTGTATAATTCTTCTATCCGATCGCTACCTGCAGGCAAATTTTTTCGGATGCTTGTGTTTCTACAATCCATAACGTCATTATGAAAATTCTCTATATAAGCGGTCCTTAGTTTGGTTAAGCCATCAGCTATTAGCTGATCTGTATTTCCTTGCAATCGTATGTTTTGTTCACACAATTCACTTCACAATTCACAACTCCCTGAGCAAGACAATTCAGTAGATTTTTCAGGTCCTGCTAACCGACGCTCTCCCTCCAGGATATACAGGTTGTTGTGAAAACCTTTTTGTCTTAAGATTCTTAAGCGCAAATAGTTCTTCCAGGCGACACTCTTCTAGCAAGGCAACAGGAGGTCTGCGCAGGGGTTTCACAATTATCGAATGCCGGGGATGGTTTGGTATTTGTAGCAAACGTTTTATAATATATTGAGGCTACCTTCGCATTACATATTTTTTGCAGTCTCAACCGTACATTCGCAAATGCGGCAATGGATGCACCGAATACAAATTGCTCATCGTCACCGACCTTGATAGAGCATCAAAAGCTGGTCACTGGACATGGAGAGCTGTTACCCGACAAGGTCCCTCGAAGTTGGATATTCATCGTAACCCTCACGTGATCAAGTGGGACCCAGACAGGAACTTGACGTCGTAAGTATACAGATAAGTGATTAATTCTCATTATTTTTTATCCTGAAAAGTAAGCCAAGGGATAGTATAGAGCATGAGAGAAAAGCAGTCCACTACTGTACTCTAAGAGAAGTCAGCGATGTGTGAGTGCTTTTGGTTAAGAATAGAAGCGAGATGAAGGGATAATATTATATTACTTAACGAGCGTAAAAAAAGAGAATTGCAGCCGATCGAATGTGTCCACCACTTTTTGGCCGATATGCTCCATGTTGGGCAGGAAGAAAATGCGATAGGATATAGAGATAGTCCCATACTCCCAGCTGCCTTTTCTGAGAGCGCTGTCATCCTGTTTAAGAAAAACGGGCTTCAAAAAAGTGGCGAATTTCTTTGAAAGCAGCTGTGCAGTATCAGCACAGGTAGGCGAGATTCCTTGAGCGACGTGCCAGACCACCCACCCTTATCTTCTTCGTTCGATATATTGAAAGGGGAATCTCCTCTCAATCAGTCGGCAATACTACATTTCACCTTTCTTTGTCTGACCACTTTCGACTGCTTTCACATTTGACGCTCTAGGGATAGGGATTCGGGATTGAGGAATTCACCACAATGTGAAGGATCAGGAATTCGTTCCGTCAAGTGCTGTTGAGCTAATAGTGGACTGTAATTGACTCGATGGAGAGCATTTTTCCTACTTCACAACTCGACCTAGTATATTTGATTGAGGATAGGTTTATTATATAGAGTAATATTTATATATAGGTGTCAAATTAACTATTTAAAAAATTCAGTCACTCCAGTGCAATGAATGGCAGAGGTCGCGCTTGTCCGACTTAACGGTGTTCCACCATAGAATACTCCTGACGATAGGACTGGGTTGTTCAGTGAAACAAGAGACAACCAAGTAACAGAATCCGTTGAGCCCTCGTTCCATTAATTACTTATCTGATCATGAGGCCGATTCAGATCATTCCTTGGGTATTTCTCAATTTTGGCCCCGGAAAAACCCCTACCAATAACACCATTATAAAAAACAAGTGCTTATTTGCCGCAGGAAGCATAACTGACGCATCGCTCTGTACCATACCTCCTTACAAGGAAACCCGAGAATCTAGCAAAACCGCCAAAACCATCCCCGCGCCCCCACCACTTTCTCCTTTTAACAGCAGAATATGCATTAGAGAATCTAAATTAAAGCTAGCTCTGGTTTTCTTCCGAAGTGACTAAGAGTTAATTAAACTTCTACCATCTTATCTATCAAGGTCACCAATATGAACTGGATTGGTATCTACAACAAAATGAAGGCTTCTGTCGCGAGAAAAGCGTCGAACACTCCCTATAATGAAACAGTGGATGAAAAGAGGTACGTGGGATTTCCTTCACATAGTAAGTAGCAAATGTTGAACAAAACTTTTCTAGGGGCACAAATCTTCTGATAAGTTCTACAACTCTCGACCAATTTGAATTCAAAACGGTTGGCGAAGTTGTTCCTGAACGTGGATACTCGGCTTTTTTCTTCATTCCTGACACTAACGATGATCTTATTGTCGCCTTAAAGTCGAAGGAAGTGGGCGATTCTGAAGCCACATATATCACCGTATTCAACATCGAGGGTCAGGTTATTCTTCAAGATGAGGAACTCAGTGGTGATTTCAAGTTTGAAGGATTGTACTTCCTTCGAACACTTCATTATAATAAAAAATTCACCATGCTGTTCTTTTTTAAATAGGTCTACCATTAAAGTTCATAAAAGCATAGTCAGGACAAATGAATTATTGCCTTTGATTGTGTTACGTACTTCTACTCAAGTTACGCTCATTCCGCCCTCCCACTTACTCCTCTCTCGTTCAGTTAGGAGATTAAGGTCATTCATTATTAAACTTCTTGACCTAAATACACATAGTTAGAGCATTCGTAGATATTCCTTCCGTTCAGCTCAAAAGGAGCATCGGGTAGAATACGTTCCCCATTAACGTCGTCGTAGCTAGAGCCAGTCTTAGGCCGATTTTTCCTTGAGCGTTGCCGAATTTGACTAGCATTCGTTCCGCCTGCTAATGTTTAGCGTCACAAGCAACTGTCCAAAGCGGAGGTTATATGAGCAGTGACCACTTGAGTTCCACTCACATACCTTCCCATTCCAAATAACATCGAGCAGGCGGAACAAATGCTGGCCCAATTCGATAACGCTTCTGAAAAGATCGGATTACGATTGAACCTAACAAAGACGATGTTCATGCGGAATTGGTACCTGATGTTCCTTTCACGCTGAACGTAAGGAATATCTCTGAATGCTCCAGCTACATATGTGTATCTAGTTCGGGAAGTCAACATGATGAACGAGCTAGCTCCGGAGCTGAGCAGACGGAAACGCGCGGCGTGGGGAACATTTAAGAACATCGAGGAAGTAGTGAAAAAAACGAAGAACATCCGGCTCGGCGCTTACCTTTTCGACACTGCTGTCCTACCCGTTTTGACGTGCACCTCGCAGACTTGAACTCTCCGAAAGCAAAATGAGCACGCTGTCAGCGTTACTCAACGTGCTTCGGAAAGACGATGCTCTGAATTTCACTATACACGTAAGTGCAGAAGGGATTCCAAGGTAGCGAGCTCCGTCATCGAACGAAGATCAGGAATGCCTGTTTACGCCTCGGAACGTCAAGGGATCACCAGGACGGCCGCCAATCCCATGGTCAGACTTCTTCACGAAAACTCTGAACGAAAAAGATGTGTTGCCTCGTGTCCCTCGAGCAAGTACGATTCACTGGACTGCTCTGGCTTGCGGGCTCGCAACAGGTACGAAAGGAGAGGTTACGGGCGCCCGCCCGATGAAATCGACAATCAACGGGATGGCAGGTGATACAGGTGTTCTATAACAACTCAAATCCTGCACAAGGAAGAGCAGCGATCAAGCAGGGCGAGGACGAAATTCAAGTATTCAATCAGAGGTCCAAAAAAAGATAGTATCACATAAAACATAGTACGAGCAAAATAAAAGAATAAGCTTTAATTAACCGGAGTGTAGTTTCATTTCATCGCGTTCAGAGGCTTGAAGAATCGGTCGAAAGCTTTCGATATGGAATCACCGCATGAACGATGTCGTTCCTCTAAGCACCGGAGTAGGGAAATAGTTCACGGGACACTACAGTTCAAGTCGTCTAAATCCATCTGTTTTACTCAAGTGCAGTTACAAATACATGTAAGAGAGTGGGTCTCTGAGGCACCATTACGAAGAGAGAAAAATTTCTTAAACATCTCATAATTCGTAATGCAAAAAGCACCAGTATGAATGTCACTAAGGATCACCTTCTTACACAAAAAAATGTAACATCTCACCCAATCGCACATTTGTTTTCAAATAGTAGTTTTGATAGTTTTGATCCGCTTATCATTTTAGTGGTTAACTTTAACACGGAAATCTCCGACTACTTAAAAGTAGTATCGAATGAAAAGGTGAAGTATAATAATATTTGAAAAAGGTAAAAAGTTAGCTAGGGAAAATCTTCAGCTATCTTCGTAAAGCTACAAGATGTATGCTAAGCTTAAGGTATAGGTCTAGGAGTCATTCCAGTAACTCCATCAGTGTCACTCATAGCTCGAAGTCTTTCATCATAGGGCATGCGTGCAAATAGTTACTCGACAGCACTTAAAGCACAGGTTTTTTTTTGAGAGCCAGAGCTTAAAAATACTCGGAAATATAAAGTCTTCAAGGTCAAATCAACGAATTAATAGTCACCCGTTACTGAGTCGTCTCTAGTTTCTCCTGTCATTCCGGCCTTCTTATCAGGGGTCAGAGTTCGATTGTGGGAGACCGAAAGGTCCGATGATTCCATAGCTCTCTGCTGACATAATCAGGATCTTCGCATCACAGGCTCCATTCAAGTACGAGCCACACATGGGACTAGTTTTGATTGCGGCGATTGGATCCCGGCTTACATTCTCTTTTTCTCGCTTACGCCTTCTTCTAACGATTGATTAAAATTGTCAAAAAAAAGCAAAATTTAGTGGCAAACCGAATGTTTCAGGGACCGAATCTGGTAAATACTCGTTCAGACCAACTAAACCTTAAGTCCCTACAAGGTAGATTTATTGGCCACAACCACGTCAGGGAGGATAAGAGCTCGGCTCGTATTCGTAGATCAGCTGGCTACCAAGTGTTTGTATAGGCCATGTACAAAACGTCACAACGATTCTGAATGGGAGGCGAATGTGGGGGTGCATTCTAGAAACGGGAGCGATGATGTCAACGATTTCAATTCTTTTATCAGAGTAGGTGATAGAAGACAGGGTATATTTAGAAGACCATCATTGTATATCGACAGAACTATGAACGTGGTAGAGCAAAAGGAATCCTGTTCAGAATACAAAAGTAGTTGTGTGTTGGTTCTTGTAACTAAAATGCGCTCAGGTAAAACCAATTACTCTCGGGGAACGCTAGCTTGGATACTTTACTTCATTGGGAACTGCCTCTACAGAGAGCTCCAGTGAAGGAATGAATCGTAAAAACAACAACCGGGAAAGTTCTGACCGAAAGTAGTGATTAGACAAATGGAGCTTGCGAAATGCCTTTAGCGAGAAAAAAATGTTCTTTCAGTCCGTGATCATGCTGGGTATTATTCACCAAAGCTCTGAACGAAAGGAATGCCAGGCCAACTGTCCCTAAGAGAGCACAATCTACTCGACTACCATGGATCGCGACAGGGACGAATGGAGATGTTACTGTGGCTCGTTCGAGGAAATCGTTAACAAACGGGAAGACGGGTGGTACTGTTTCATTATTATGTATTCAGGTTCCACCTCCAAAAATGAAAAAAGGATCAAGCGGACGAAACAAGCATGCAGATCCGTATATGGATCCTGTATAAATTTTTACGTAATCGCTAAGTGAAAACAAACTCTTTGGCAGCTTGTTTCCACAATCCATTACATCAGAGCGGAATGCTCTATATAAGCCGTTCCCACTTAGCTGAAGCATGGAAATCAGCAACTGGCTGGATTTCATAGTTTCTGCCCTCCGACATGTTCCTGTATCTCCTTTCAATCGTACGTTTTGTACCCACGATTCACACGAATATTTCTCGCTTAGTAAGAATGTCCATTAAATTTTCAGGTTCTGCTAGCCGATGCCCTCCCTCCAGGTTACATAGGTTGTTTTGAATACCTTTTTGTCTCGAGATTATTATACGACGAATATTTCTTTCAGGAAACACTCTTCTAGCAAGACGTCAAGAGGTCTGCATTAGAGTTTCACATTTACCTACTGCTGGGAATGTTTTGCTCCCCTATAACCACTGTTCTATTTTGAAGCTTCTTTAGCATTACATATTTTTGCAGTCTCAACCGTACATTCGCAAATGCGGCGACGGATGTACTGAATACAAATTACTCATCGTCACCGACCTTGATAGGGCTTCGAAAGCTGGTAATTGGACATGGAGGGCCGTTACCAGACAAGGTCTCTTGAAGTTGGATATTCATCGTAACCCTCACGTGAGCATCAAGTGGGACCCAGACAGGAACTTGACGTCGTAAGTAATAGATAAGTGTTTAATTCTCTTTATTTTTTATCCTGACGAGAAAGCCAAGGGTAGTATAGAGCATGAGGGAAAGGCAGACCGCTACTGTACTCCAAGAGAAGTGAGCGATACGTGATTGCTTTCGGTTATGAATAGAAGCAGGATGAGGGGATAATATTACAGAGCCTAACCAGCATGATAAAAAGAGAATCGCAAGAGACCGAATGTCTCTCTCACTTTTTAACCGAAGTGTATGCCCCAGGTTAGGCAGGAAGGAAATGCAATAGGTGTCATAAAGACATCCCCATACTTCCAGCCGCTTTTCTTAAGAGCACTGTGATACTTTTTAAGAAGAACTAACTTTACAAAAAAGTGGCAGATTTCTCTTTAAGCAGCTGTGCAGTATCAGCACAGGTAGACGAGATTCTTTGAGTAACGTGCCGTCCACCCACCTTAGCTTCTTCGTTCGATATATGGGAAGGGAATCCGCTCTCAATCAGTCAGCAATGCTACCTTTCACCTTAACTTGCCTGACCAATTTCCACTGCTTTCACATTTGACGCTCTAGGGATAGAGATTCGGGATTGAGGAATTCACATAGATGGAAAATTGTTCCGTCAAGAGCTGTTGAGCTAGTAGTGGACTGTAATTGACTCTATGGAGAGCATTTTTTCTACTTCACAACTCGACCAAGTATATTTGATTGAGGATAGCTTCATTATATAGAGTAATATATACATATATATATCAAATTAACTAATTGAAAAGCTCACTCACTCCAGGGCAATGAACGTCAAAGGTCGTGCTATGGAATTATCCGACTTAACGGTGTTCCATCATAGAATTCTCACTCCTGACGATAGGACCGGATTGATCAGTGAAATAAGAGACAATCAAGTAACAGAATCCGTTCAGCCTTCATTCCATTCCTTACTTATCTGATCATGAGGCCATTCAGATTATTCCTTGGGTATTCCTCAACTCTGGCCCTGGAAACACGACTGACGCTTTCAAATGCGAGTGGATGACCATCAAGGATGGTTTGCTCTACGTTGGAAGCCATGGCGTTGTGAGTGAGATTTGTTAATGTGAAGGTGCACTCATACTGCTCAATACTTGAGTGCTTCGAAATTATTTAGTCCATACTTGAAGACCTTTTACAGAATTCTGGAAAAGAGATTCGACGAAAACTCAACACATGCATTAATTTTAGCTTGGTTTTGTTACTGTTATTATTTTCAGGAGTACAAAACTAGACATGGTTCTCACCGAAACAACATGTGGGTCAAAACTGTTACCTCAAAGGGAGAGGTAAGTATGAATGAAGTTTGAAATGGGTGGAAAAGTTTTCTAGAGAAAGCAGCTTCTCTATATGACAAGACGAGTGTGGATTTTGCAGCTTTATTCTGTGACCGGCAACCAGATTGCTTGCAAACTTTTTGCTAACTGAACCCTATATGTTAAGCAATCCATCAATTAAAGCAACTGACACCAGTATTAAATTATTGCTAAGGCGTTTATTTGGCCGCAGAAAGCATAATTTATGCCCCATTCCACTCTTCCCCACCTTCTCCTCAATAGCAGTGCTGAAATAGTCCTTTGGGAGTCGGAATTATAGCTAGCTCCAGTTGCTGGTTCAAGAGAATTTGGAAAAGGGTCTGAATCGATTGTGCTTCTTCCATCGTATTTATTAAGGTCACCAATATAAATTGGATTGGTATCTACAACAAAATGAAGGCTTCTGTCGGTATCCCTGAAGAAGGATACCTAACACATGAAGCCGTTCAGTGGTCAGCAAGACGAGGACGTTGGTTCTTCTTACCCAGAAAAGCGTCGAACACTCCTTATAATGAAACGGTGGATGAAAAGAGGTACGTTGAACTCATTCCTTCTAGTTGTGCTAGAAATGGAAGTAGCAAATGTTGAACAAAAACTTTTACAGAGGTACGAATCTTCTGATAAGTTCCACGGATCTCAAACAATTCGAATTCAAAACGGTTGGGAAAGTTATTCCCGAACGCGGATACTCGGCTTTCGCCTTCATTCCTGACACGAACGATGATCTCATTGTCGCCTTGAAGTCGAAGGAAGTGGGCGATTCCACGGCCACATATATCACCGTATTCAATATCGAGGGTCAGGTCATTCTTCAAGATGAGGAACTCACTGGCGATTACAAGTTCGAGGGACTGTACTTCATTTAAAAATTTCTCTATCATGGAATGCTCACTATGCTTCATTGAAAAGTCAGGCTATTCAACTTTGACAAAGCTGGCTTTCAACAGATGAATTATTGTCTTCAATCGTGTTTGCATGAGGCCTTCACTACTACAATTCTTAACAAAATGTTAAGAATACTACATGTGATTCTGCCCGAATCGACTGTTTGCCAACAGAAAGAGCATGTGAAGCTCAAAAGCCGTAGGAGCTCATCCCAAACAGACTACGAATGAAATCTAAACGGATTCATATACAAAAGTGTTTTACCTCAGTTAGTCCACCTTTGCCATGGAGGCAGTATTAACTGTTCTATCTAAACGGAAAAGCTGCGTTAGCCATACAGCCTAGCAATGCTGATCTCAATCCAAGAAACTGTATCCTCATGTAAGACACTAAATTATTCCAAAAACGCCGATCAGATTCCTCGTTGAAACATTTGAGCCAACTAATCTCGTTAGAGAAAGGGTAGAGCCCAGTCGAAAAAATGAGTTTGCACTTCGCAGTTCGCACAGTAGAACTCTTGGAAAAGCATGACACATACTTTATTTTTGATCAGAATTCCCATAAGCATTTCTACTCACATATAAGTTTTCTAAAGTATTTCAAACCTACTATTAATAACTACATTGCATTAAATTGAGAATTGCTAAATGTTGCAGTTATAATACTACTATAATATGCTAATGCTGCTTTATGGTACTTTAACGATACTCGTAAAATGTTAGCACAGAACAACACAGAAAGCTTCACAATGGCGATTTCAGTGAGATCATTCATAATTTAGACTGCCTGAATTTCCTTGAGAAGTTGGGCGAGTTTTCCGCTATCCGCTGCGGCTGCCGTATCATCACCTCCACCGAAAAACTTCTGGTCAATGAACACTCGAGGTACTGAACGTGCTCCGGTCAGCGACTGAAAAAAACAGGCTCATCACGCAACTGACGCGTGAGAATGCGCCACGCATTCTCCGCATTCATTGAATTCTACAGCCTCTTTCTAAATATGTGAAGTCGTACGGATTGCAATACAAGACCTATGTGCCATCAGAGAGCGACTTCTACCTAGCACAAAAAAGTTCTAAGGGCGTTCGGGAGAATCTTTTCGAAGTAATGGACAATGGTGCATCAAAGATTCAACCAAGTGACGATTAAAGACCTCTTCAACTATACACTCAATTGAAGTGTTGCAGAAATCGACATATTCACAGCATGCCGGTTAGCTGGTCTTCCCTATTTTTCTAGCAACAACCAGATTCTCGATGCTTCCACAGAAGCCGAAACGTTTGCAAGGCCATTTCGTTAAGTGAGAAAACCAGCTGAAACCTGAAGATAATCTTGAATTTCTGAGCAGTCATTTCGTCCATCGATATTTATCCATTCTAGCGCTCCCGGCTTGATGTGCTGCGCTTCAAGCGCAGCTTTCGTCTGAAATAATTAAGGGTAACTATGAACTTGTCATTCTAAAAATTGGTTTCCAGTTGCTGTGAGAGTTTTTTCAAAAAAAAAACAAACGAAATGTTGGAAGGATTTCTGAGACTTTTATTTTTAAGCTGCGCAACCAAGAATTGAGATTTGGATGCAGCTAGGGGCGATTGGTGGACCGCACAGGTCGACTATCATTGAGGTTTATTGGTATCACAATTACCTATGGAGAGCTTAAATGAAGCTGACGGGTCGAAAAAGGCTAAAATACTAGTAATAAGGACCTCAAACCGGCTCGGCCGACGTACACACCCAATGCGGACGAGTTTTTAGCGTTGAAAAGCTGATGCACTACTCGCAGCGAGACCCACACCTTGCACGCAGGAAGCTCATTGTAGCCACTTGTATACAATGGCTCACACGTTTGATCAGCTCGCCCAATTACCCCTTCCATGCATCTTCTGCCGTCACATTCTCGTCCAACCCACAATTTTTCTACTTTTTTGAAGCCTATTACTTCTTAAAGTATGCCGATTTCTGTGTTTTCTTGACCACTTTTGTACTATTGTAGACTATCACTTTCATTAATCTTCTAGAAACGAATACCCCAATTTATCCTGACCTGCCTTCAGGTGTTGTTAAAAAACTCGGTTGCACAGCTCCAGAACTAAAAGTCCCAACTGGAAGAAAAAAGCCGAAATTCAGAGAGAGTCGTATGTATTTGGGTACTACTTCGAAATGTACCAGTTGGAACCATAGATTATCAGAACACCAGGCCTTAGAACAGCAGATGAGCTTTTTCTCTTCTTTGACCGCAGTGTATAGACAACTGGGTATAGTGAAGGAAGGTACGCTTTGAATATCCATCCTTTCCGATCATTCGTGTACCGCTACATGCGATTAATAAACAATATGTTTACAGTGATTGATTCCCTGGTTCAGGCCGTTTCGAAAGACCACAAATCTTGTCAAGCCGCCTCATATTAAACTGAGCTGATGTCCTATGTCTGAACTGCTCGGTGTGTAATAAGCGTGTCTAAACCATCCCAGAAAAAACTTCGAAGCTCCTTCAGGGAGCGATATCGATCGCCTGTTTACCAACCGACTTTCCCAGCAACATTCCCGAGTTGCACAGATAACACTGATAACATGCCAAGCACAAACGGAATGGCAAATAAAAAATTCTAATCCGATGAACAGGATGGGAAGCACTTCATGAATAGTAGGATCGGTAGGAAAAGAATAAATCGATACCTTTTTACAATAAGGACAGTAAGATTTGGCGAATACAACGACCTTGTGGGATTTCAGCAGTCCGTCCACAAACGTCTTCACACCCATGCTCGGGGTGGAGCTGAAAAAAACCTAGTTAATGAGGCACTGAGCAGACTTTACAAAGATCAATTCTATTGCATTTTGAGTGAATGTAGGATATTACGCGGGTGGAACCATTTGTGCATGACTGACATTTCACTCCGAAAGCGATGATACATCAGGATATGCCAGAAAAAAGTTTAAACAAAAATTTCTACGAATTGTCCGCCGCTCAACAGCTGGGAGTTTTCTGAAGAGAACTTCTGCAGAACACATCGCTTTTCTGAAAACCAACCAATTTGGAAAAAAAATTTCGACCCTACAACTTGAGTAGAGCACTAAAATTCAATACGAACAGAACGTAAAAACGTGAGCTCTAAGTTTCAAAAAGTCCGAGATGATCTCATTCGTTTGGTTCGAAACCTTGCAAACTACGCAGGAAAAAATCAATTTGAAAACACCGTGTGAATTAAGTCATACATCGAAATAGTTTGGTATAGAAGTGGGACCAATCCAGGAGTTCCTATGAAGAGAAACTTTAACGTTGATTGGTTATCTTTGTGCTCAAGCGGATATCGGGTGGTCGCTTCCCAAACGAAGCGTGGGTGGCTTATCGCTGCAGGGGCCGCCCTGGTAGATACGTTCCGGTGGTTAAGCGTTGAAGTCGGAGTTTAGGAGCTTCAATCGGCAGAATAAGTAACAAAAAGTATATAACACTAGAGTAAACGACGTTTCAATCTTGGTTTAGTTTACCTTATTTACTTATTTATTTAGCTACTGCTGCGACGGACCTTAGGTACCGATAGAATTCATACCAATTTTTCTATAGTACTAAAAAAGGGAACAATTGAACTGCGGGAAAAACTCTGTCAGCTCCCTATGAACTCGTCCAAATCAATTATATCTGAAATTGCCATAGTAAAATATTCGAAACGTCATCACCTGTTATCACGTATTTGGATGGGTAGTGAACAACTCATGATTCTTCCTCTCAATTGATTGGCACCAATGTGACTATTTCCTGAAATGAACTTTGTTTCTCTGCGATCATCTCCCTACGACGACCATCTTTCGGCGAATGAGTTAAAGAAATATTCCTTAAATAGTTACAACAGAACCAGTAGGTTATGCGAATGAGGCGAGCCAGTTCCTACTTAAACCGTCCTCCACAGCTATCGATTAGTTTTCAAAAAAGGTAAGGGTTGCCTTGTGGCAAACGCGACAATGTATGGTATACACGGATGGATGTAACACTAAGGAACAAGAAGTATTTCTCGGATCCTGTGATTTTGAACACGCCCTTACAAAGAAGGAGCACAAGTTGATAGATAGTTTCTCCTCCACCTTGCGGAATCATTTTACGAAGACCTCGATATTGAGACTGCGTGATTGAGGGCGAGGAGGCCGATCCACTGTGGGAACCTGACTCGCATCCAGCAACTAAAAAGCTGCGAAAGGCAGTAATACTAACATAAGAAGATTTTACCAACTTGGAGAAAAAAGTCCTGGAAGATGCAAAAACGCCGTCGCTCATCAAACCCGATCCGTGGTCCCGTGCCTATGAAGCGTCACGCCTACCTCCACTCCAAACTGCCACTGCCGGACTGCCGGCGACCATGGCTTTTGTGCTTTCCCCTGTGGAGCGTTCCCCGGAGACCACCTCCATAACTTCGTTCAGAGAATCGTTTGGCAGATTTTGAATGCAGATTTGAAAACAGCATCAAAAAATACGCCTAGCAGTATGGGTTTCATTTCAAATGGCCACTTCGACTTGGAATCCTTCCCTTGTAAGACCCTCAATCAATTAATCCCCTCTCCTCTATGATCTTGCTACTACACTATCTGACTTCGAGCATGATCACTCGACGAATTGCAATCAAAAGAAGTCTGGGATAAACTCTTTGGCTTCAAACATCCTTTTTCTTTTAGAGATTTGGGACTTCCATTCGGAATCGTAATGGCGTTTTGAATGTATGTGTGGCATACATAATACTTGCGGTGAATAGAGGATGTATGTCAAAAGTCAGTGCTTTTTCCTCCCCAGATGAGTCTGGTATCGAGTAACTGACCCCAATGGATGCTTTATCCTTAAAAGTATGTACCTGACATCCAATCTCCGGATCATGCATGTGTGATAGGGCAAGATTCACCATAAATAATCCCTGATCAAATATGATAGATTATGATATACCAAGATTACGACTCACCCCACGAATGTAAAGACCTCCTTAAGAGTGTAAAGTGCACCTCCATATTCCTAAACAAATTGTGTTTTGCTCTGTTCTGCATTCTTTCGCACGCTTATTGTCTTGTTTAGTCCAACCACTCTTTACTCTTTACTCCTTGGCGACTCTGACAATCTCAATCAACTACTCCAGTTTTAGGGCTATAGAACCGACTTTCATAACAGACTCCGTCAGCAAGGATTCATGCCCCACCCATGCTGGAATTTCTTCTGCGTCCAGCTTTATATAGACTTCTGCTGAATTTTTCATATCAGTAAGATTCATGATGGCAGCCTCGCCCCGCCGAAAGCATCTTTTTCTACTCCATCTTACGAGCTTCCGAAAACATTTGTGAATTCTCTAAGCCTATTTTTCTGTCCTTAGGCCATTGTGGTCGGCACCTAGCTAAGGATTTTCTCTAAAGAACGACAAGAGTACGATGGACCAGTGTGGACGAGAACGAGTTGTGCTAATTTTGTTAACAAGCGTCCTTGTCCATTGTTCAATTCTATCGAATCTCCTTAGTACCAAGTTATGGTTCATTATAATTAGGGAGGTACGCGTAGGTCCTCATACCGTCCGAGTCCTGCTCCTCAAAATTTTCAGAATAATAGGTAAAATCGACCTCTTCTCTCCATATACTGTGAGCGGATATTGAACGTTCCGGATGTTCGTTTTTTCTCAATCTCGTTCTTGACCTTCATAGGAGAATCTGCACGCCATTGCAGAGACGCGACAAACAATATAAATATCTGTAGGCAATAGACTGATTCTCAATAGAAAGATCCCTACACCGAGTAGAATAAGAAGTGGGAAACTAATCGTGCTTTGCGTACAGAACCGAAACGGTGCTGAAAGTAAGGAGCCCACAGTTAAGGAAAAGTAAAACTTCATGAATATGAAAAGAGGAGAGGTCTCCTCGGGGGAGCATGACCCACGACGAGTTTGCGCGAGCAGTTCCCACATTGGCCCCAGATATCCTAAGGTTGAAAATATTTGACAAAACTCAAGAAGAAGAGTTTTGCAGAATGACGGTACCTAGAGTGAAGGCGACAATCAGAATGATGGACGATGACGGTGTGGGAACCCACCGGCATCCACCGGAAATGAAAAGGAAATTTGCAGGAAACAGCACGAACTCAAAAGGTTGCTATGGGAACATTACTTACAAAGAGTGCAGCCACTGCTTTTATTGAGATCTATTCAACTTAATGAAGCCCTTTCGAACTAGCAGCATTTACCTAATTCATGTTCAATTGACGATTTAGGACGAATTTATCCGTCGCGAACCGTCGTTTTGCCACAATTTTTGCTGATGGACTCTAATTACCTTGGGATGGAGAAAAACGAGTAGTACTACTCATGCGAAATCGAGAGATATATTGAATGCTCGATTTTATCCGGTAGTTCGGCTTCATTTTCACGCTAAACGACGAACTTTTCAGATACCTAAGATGTTAGTTATGGACATGGTAGCCTCGTGCATCCTCCACTTCTTTTGTAAACTTTATTCCCATCCTCAGTGCTCAAATGGAACGTAGCGTAACGGGATGAAGATGAACATGGACTTTTAATTAATTTGACACCATTCACCGTAGAATGTCCTCGACTTCAGGTGCAAACTGTGATTACACAACTTTTACCAACACTTGCTACTTTTCCCAAGCCGTTTTTTTTTTTTCATTACAATCGAGTAGTTTGCGCTTATTCAGAGGTTCAGTTTATGTAATAAAAGCAAAATACGCGAAATAACGGTGCAGAGAGCGTGGTTGGAGCGATTTTTTCGTTTCTTTTTCCCTATAATTCGATTGTTCAACACTTTGGATTCCTTTTTGGGGTGGTCAAGTGGCAAGTGGCGTACTATTATCGACATGGTCACGGGCTCGTATACCGGACCGATAGCCGCCCAGGTCTACCAAGCCTTCCATCCCTCAGAAATCGATTTGTTCTTAGGCTCTCATTATAGGATAAAAGTACTGACTGGTACACCGGCTGGCCACCTGCAATGCATTTCGCCACTATGCTTCTGAATAGCAGTGGAATGCGGTAGCGCATCTCCCTGACGGGATTCATCGACACCCCAAGACTATATCCTTCATTATTTAATAATTATAAATTAATAGCATTTACATTTCGCTTGCAAACTAACCTATTAGTTTCACAGTCTTCTGTGAGACAGCCCACACAGTCCTTGTGAACATCTTGCCGAAATATAGGAGTACTACTGCGTATTGAACTCCAGCATCACCACAGCCATAACAACACGTCAGATCCATCCGATTTCCGATTTTGATCGTGTGAAAAGATGACGTTGGATTTTTGACCTGAGTTATCAGATCCTTTCGATTCAATTATTTACGCTTCTTTAACCACTTCGATGTACTTGGAAAATAGATATAAACTGCGCAGTTTATTACAAATGTGTACAAAGTAGGCCACATACAAGTCAAGTATACAACAGCACAACAATGGCGAAAATTCACATTTTTAAAGACTAGGAATAACAAATTTCATTCACTATATCTAGAAACAGCAAATACATTGAAACCGTATACCGTAATACAATGAATAATCGTATAGCTGTAATACAAAGAATAGCTAAAAGCTCTAAATGCAATAACTGATAGTGATAATATTCGCCAGATGAAGGCGCGTTCGCAGTCATACTTCGCGTAGGGCGATGGACGAAACGCTACAGACGGGCTCGATCGCTGTCTTTAATTTAACTACTGCGTAGTGCTATAACTTGATAGGCTATCAAACTTGTCTGGTCTGCCTCACTTTCTTTTCGTATGACTCCGACGTGTGTCCATGGCCTAACGCAAACTATGAAGGCGAATAAAGCTGGATATAGTTGCTACCTTTCAATTGTGCGGAACTGGTGGCAAAGGCTCAACAGAAAGCCCCAGGGGTTTGCTGATCAACTACAGCCAGGCTCCTTTAGGCTATTCTGCACAGAAAGATCAAAGTGATCAGCCAAAACGATAGATTTTGACTTCATAGAGCCCAGATTTCTGTTGTAAATTCCACCATTTTCCCACGGAAGAAAGCAGAAAAATTGTGTTAAAAGATGTGAGGTTTTCATGTTTTCTAAAACTCCCATTTGCACAGAGATAGACATTTTCGAATCCCCTTCGTAACTGTTGTTTGGGAATACAATTGAAATAGAAAACATTTGCTCAACCATTGTTCACCCCTTGAGACCAGTGTGCCACAATGTAAAAACGATAAAAGTACTTGAGAATAGGGAATATGTGAAAAGGAAAGAATTCTTGCTAATATAGGGGTACCAGAAAAATAAAAAACACACTTAAACGATGTCTTAAATAATGGGACAAATGGGGAGGGTCGCGATCACTATCCTCCCAAAGGCTGTGTAGGCTCAAACGCACGTATCCGATTCACATCGCAGACGTTCCCTTGCGCCATATCATGCGAGAGAGTGTGAGCGATCGCGGAAACAAAAGGGACTCCTTTTTTCAACAAGAACTTCCCTTCGAGTGCAATTCGAGAAGAGCGAAATTGCATCATTGGGGTTGGCGCCCCAGTGATGCAATTTCGAAAGGGGTCAAGTTTGGTCAATGAATATGGAGGATTGTTCAAGTGAAGAAGGTGACCTATACATCTTTAGTACTGAACTGAACAATTTTTTATTTTCGTTATAATAAACCTATTTCCACAAAAACAGTCATCTCCCCAAATGTGATCATTTAATAATTTTTCTTCATGTGATTTCCTTAATATCCTTAAAACCCAACCGAACGACAGAATTAAGCGGAGATTTCAACATCTTAAAAGTTTTTTCACCAACTCAGGAATGTCTCGAACCTAATGTGAGATGACCCTGACCAGGTGCAAAGATTACATTTTCTCTTCGAGCAAAATGTGTCCATGAGTGTACAACAACTCCCTTTTCGTATAATGTCAACAACTAAGTACTTACACTATTTCCAGATGACACCATTCGAAGATCGTAAAGGATTGTAAACGAAGAGCAGTTTCGCAAAAGTTCCATGTATCTACAGTCTCTAATCACCTTAGAAAACACTTTCGATCAACACTATTGATCAGTGCCCGATATAAATTTTCTCAGTTTCTGATCAGCCTCCTTTGCCAGTTGGTTATAGTGCGCCTAAAACAAAACATTCTGCAGTTACTGAACAGAATTAGTAATTATAAAGTAATCAAATGTAAAAATAAATAAAACAAAGTAATAAAATCTAATAATGTTAGAGAAGAAGTGTAAAAAGGATTCAATTAGTAATCCTGTGATGCAGAAGTTGTATCTAGACATGGTCTAAACGGCAACAATTGTAATTTACCTTCAAACAAGCCATGTAAGCCCGAAAAGTACCACATCCTACTTTTTAGAGGAGAACAAGGCATAAACTAGATTGAATGCTGAGAATGCACCTGGTGCTCATCCAGACGAAACCTATGTGGTAATATTGTTGGATACACTAGTCGAAGGGACTCAGAAGGTTCCTGTCCTGTGCCCATATTTAAGGAATAAATGAGTCCGAAAAATTCATTTATGTCACGAAAATGGTATGCAAAAAGCGAACGCATAGAGTTCCTCCATCTTGAGACGGCTTATAGCGATTTCGTCAATGGCAAGTGGAGCAGTCATACCAGAACAGTCATACTATGTACATTATTCTTAGTACGGTTATTTCCTTCACAATTGTACTACGAATAGTGTGATCAAGAACCTTTCGACGTGATTGTGATTGTAGGGATGAGAAGACTTCTATTTTGGAAACAGTTGCCAACTACCGATACTATTATACTAGATTTTTATCTACAGATTGCTACTTTTCGGAAAGAAGCGCTTGATTGATTAGCACTGAACTGTACTGCCTCTAAACATGAAGAACTCCCTACCGTTCCATGCAAGAACTCCAGTTCAACGGCAATTCGTGAGGCTATTGCTGAGTCGTCACCAAACTTGAGGAGGAGATCTTTGATGCGAGAATACACAAAAATTCTGTACGGCAACTTTGCCAGTGCTGCCACATACAAAGGAACAGTTTGCAGAAGAAAATCTGGATCCATCGCACCTTTAATCATCTGAAATGTGATAACCAAGAAATGAGCAGCATTGAAGATGTGATAAGAGGACTTATAAGGATTATTAGGGTGGTTGTCAGAAAAAGGGTGTGTTCAGATGCAGGAGAGGAATTCGTGAGAGGAGGTTTCATGACTAAAGAACAAAGTTTGGCGACTAGAGCCAACTTTGAGTTATCGTAATATGCAACAAGTAACCACTCGCATTAGATATGAAAAATTCAAGAATTCTGAGTAAAAAATACGAAGTAATTGAAGTAAATTGAATCTTGCTACTTCATCTCTTTGAACAAACCTTCGAAACAAGTGCCTGAGTCAGCACGACAAAAGCAGTTCGGTTAAGTCCAGTACGTCGGGCATCGGCCTCAGCAATGGACAGCAAATTAGAGCCCACATTGCAGATAATTTCGCCACATACTCTCACGATTCGCTCCTTCAAATAATTTAATAACCAGAAGTCTAGAATGTTGGAATATAACCATTATATAAGACCACCGTGACCACAGTCAAGTGCCATAAGTACAAACCATGTCAAATTGGGGAAAAACACGGCAAAAATAGGATCTAGTTTGTTGAGAAGATGGTTTTTATGTCTTTTCAAAGCTTGCATATTGTTACTTGAAAGGAGATGAGGTGTACCTGCAACTCCTTATCGTCATTTTTCAACAATGTTGCAATTTGATTAGCTAGGTGAAAAGGCACAGAATCGGCAACTATCTTTCGTATCGTGTCCCCAGATGCCGTACTATTTCCAAGTGCCTAGAACTGATGCTATATTGAGAATGTTAATGAAGTTATTCAGGATAATACAAGTTACCATTACGCTTACCGTGAAAAATTTTGTGACGAAGATTTCCGAATTCCCAGGAGACAGCTCCATTGCCGCACAAGGTACAATACTACTGAGCATGGGCACAATGTGATCCCAAATCAATGACGTAAATCTTTTCGTATCCATTTCTAAAATAGATTCCGGGCTGTACATGTGGCAAAATAGAATTTCACAAAGACTGTGGGCAAAACCCCAATGCTAGCTTATGCAGTAATGCGCGAAAGCAGAGGATGGTTGAAAGTGCAGCACCCCTTGAATGAAAAGGCAACAACCTTCAGAAATCCGTGATGCTTTGCTCACCTCTGGTTGTTGAAAACGCGAGCACGGCGTAGATCCAAGGTGGTACCATATAACCTACTAAGTGAGAGGAAATTCTTGGCAGCCGTGCAAGAATGCTATTACAAAACACGAAGAGGAAATCTGCATCGGGGTGAACACTGAAAAACCAAAACTGCACTTCAAGCTTTCAGCTAAAAAAGTTTTAGTAAAGAAACTTTGTTACGATTTTCAGCTGCAGAACACGGGTTTCGCTCAGTGCTTTGAAATTTACTTCAAGCTCGGATCATTCTACTAAAATTTGGATCCTGATTTGGAATTCATTTGGAATCAATTAGTTAATTCAACGATCAACAACGGAACGGAATTGATGCCAGGAATGAGTTTACACGAGATGGCTGTTTTTTAGTTAAACCAAACCATACTCATCAGTCCTTTGAAAGGGCAATGTTCTACCGCAATCACGTTAATCAGGAAATTCGGGAAATCAAATGTGAATGAGTTTGGCGCCAGAACTAGAAAAACTATCTGCAATTCAAGAGGCTATGCTGCCAAGAATCCTTCGAAAGTAAAAAACTTCTCAGCGATCTGTTATCTATTCAGGAGGTTCATAGCACTCACGTATTCATTTTCTCCAGAGTCGATTTGAATCGTGTCACAGAGTTGGGCGATCTGTTCTCCAAACCGATGGACAACTGAAATTAATGAGGCACTCGTGATTTCCGAAAGTAAGAAGTAAGAACCGATATGGTTCTCATTAATCGATAGCAAATCTCCAGTTGCTTGATGAACACCACGCATATTACAGAACTCCATTTTGTGTTTATAAAGCCCATCAATCAAGCCTATCAAGCCCACCTGGTTGACAACAAACTCTCGCAGCTTGCTATCAGCAGGCCTCGAGGAAAGAAGACTCGCTGCCTTGTCCCAGATAGAGCCAGAAATCTCGGCGGAAATATCAGTGAGCGAATAGAGAAATTCAAGCAAAACTGGAGTTGCGACCACTGACACAAAACGATTGACATCAATACAAGCTAACTGCTTCGATGAAGATTTCACCAGAGACAAGTACTTAGTGGCGAAGACTTTGCTTCTTTCAGGCAACGACAGTGAGTTCATGCCTTAAAGTGTGCCAGATTAATCAAAGCTACCAGAATTCAAGATATAGGTCAACATTGGATTAAAGCTCACATTTGGTTACTGTATTGAATATACCAGCTCTTCTTCCAATATCCTTCTCATTCGTAATCAAAGCAAGCACGTCGAGAGCGTTGAAGTACACAAAACATTGCGTTTCGTTGGCACGTGCGATGGATCCCGTAAACCATTCACACATCTTCGTGGAAAGCTCCTGCCAATCTGTGAAGGGCTGCATGGTCGTCTGGCAATGGTTTTATTAATGATTTACTAAAAGGAATAGTGTTCTGCCGCGGATCTACCGCCTTATATGGTGGTAGTACTGTATGATACAGTAACACTTTCGAAATAGATCCCAGGACAACCATAAGAAACAGAAAAGTGATTGTGAAACATGTGGATAAAAAAATAGACAAGTGGGTACAATGGTAACGACTACATGGTTAGCAACAAATACCAAGAGATTAAAGGTACCAATACTGAGGTAATTACAATAATAAAGCACCTTGAGATACCCTTTTTCTCAAAAGCCGCATTTTCGACACCGACTAACCTTCAATTCCGGCAACGAGAGCTAGAAGCATTGAAAGCATCGATGAGAGCACACATCCATTAACAAGTAGCTTGACGTTCGAATACCTATTGATAACGATACCACGACAAGAGCTAAGCTGATCATCTGAAGAGCAAAGTTCGCAAAGCGAATACAGCGGGAAGTGTCCATGGAATGAACAATTTAACTCACCAGAAAGGAGTCTTGTTAAGAAAGCTATCAGTAATGGTTCTTCAGCAACACAGTAACTAAATGAATGTGTCACATAATCTGCCCATTTAGCAGCCTCGCCTCGACTCAGTTTCTCCTTAGAACAAGGATTCTTACATTAAGACTCAATTCAACCAGTGAATAACACCCAAATACAAGAAGATGACCTACCAGTTCAGTCAAATCAAGTTCGTCTACTGTTTGAAGGATTTTTGTAACGAGTTTCGAGGCAAATTTTCTAAACAGTTTGCGAAGGATTAGCGATAGGTTAGGGCATTACATGCTTTATCAAAAAAAATCTATGATCAGTGTGGTATATCGAGGACTGAATCTACACCTCTAATTCTGAAGTTTGGAAAAGTTCTAACTAAGGTATTCCTGGGCAATAATCAGTCGAGTGCATCACGGGTCCTATATTATTTAGGAATGTTAGAACATGAGAGTTGCACGGGGTATTAAATAGGTTAGTGCACCAAATGGCAGAACGAAGGTTCACAAAAATGAAATATCAAGGCTGACGCACCTTATCTTTGCTAGACCTTTCAAGTTGTATTTTTGAAGAAACGATAGCAGAACTTTGCACGTGGGTAAAAGAGCGGTATCACACAGCAGATCACCCATACCAGCTAGCAAGACAAATCGTGCCATAATTTCATCAGAAGCTAAAAAAATTATGGATTTGCAAAAAATACAAATTTATTTGATATGAAATCCCAAACTTTACAAGAAAAAACTCACCAATTACGCGAATATCAACGAGATGAGAAAGTATTTCGAAGAAGAATATCAGAAAGTTTTCGGGAGTGGTCACGAGAGACCCAAGTGCACCTGTAAGGACAGGCTTTCTAAGAAGAACAACATTTTGTGCAACGACCATCCTTAGAAAGTGTACTTACGTCGCTGGCTTGGGTCGTATGGACTTTCACCCTTTACTAGGCATTGTACAATACGGAAACTACTATGGAGTAATTGATTGGAGTTTGTCGAATAAAGCTCCACCAGACTTGACTGAATACATGAGCACGGAACAGCTGAACCCTAATGATATCAAATGGTAATTAAAAGCGAGACTCAGATCGAATACTACTAGAAGTTTAAATATACTTACACAGTTTTTCCTCAACGCTGCCAGACCATCTAAGAGTACGATAAAAGCAGTATCGGCTGTCAAAATCCCTTCCCCGCTTGCTTCTGGTTTCGATCCCATGGGTTTTTCTTAAGTAATACATACCAATACCTCATGAAACATATAAAGCTGTTGCGAGATTACTGAGAGACTCACTTTCGCAGGCAGCAAGCAACTTGCAAGCACAACTCCATGAAAACAGAGCAGCGTGGAAAGGAATGTTCTAGAATCATCATCAAATGGTTGATATAAACAAAAAACTGCGACCGACAGTGGTGGCACATCTATCGAAAAAAAAACCAAAACAGTGAAGGTCAAACAAACCTGACAACAAACATTCAGAGGTAAAGACGATACTGCTTTAGCGAGCGGCCCTACTTTCAATAAGAGCCTAGACAGAAGGATACTGTAGCATGACGAAGCTTTATCCGCCATACCGACATCGATACAAGCAAATTCTATCAGACCAAGAACTAAATACCATCTCATATATTAAAGCATTGGAAACTATTACAGTTTGCAAAGTTGACAAAAAGCTGAAAATGACTACTGCTTAAACTCAACCGAGACTTTTACGATAATGTTACCGCCACACTACACATCAAACGCGGGGATCCCTCCAAGATGCGGTTAAATAGAGTGGCGAATTCGTAGTACTTCACACCTTGCATAAACTCATTTATATTTGCAATGCTAGGTGAAGCTGATAGCCTTCGGAATACTTTGAAACATCGGCCAAACAGAAATTCGATGCCATTCGATGTCTCAAGCTGAAATGAAAGTTTTGAAGCGAAACACCAACTTCAAAAATAAAACAGCCTGTAAACAAGAAAACTAAAAGCTCACCAGTGCGGTTGGAAACGAGATTGGTCCCAGTTGAGCGAAATCTGCGTACTCTTCCCGTAAAGAAGGTAGGGCTCGGGATCCAGTACTACTTCCAGACGCTCGAACAGGAGATTCAAGGACAGCGTCAAAGCTGACTGAAATCAGAGATGGCGATCTATAGAAGGAGGTATCGAGCTAATAAAAGTAAAAGGTAGAACATTCCGATATATTTCAAAGCCACGTACCTCTGCCACATTTGAACTCACGAACCCATGGTTCCCGTCTAGCGACATCACAAGCTTGATGATGCGTCAGTGTAGCCAGGATATCCTGACTCTGGGTGAAACTGGTTAAGTCGGCATCCATCTGAAGTAAATCAGATCATATCTAGGTGAACAATAGCTTAGCGTTTGCAATGCCCTAGAAACCTATCCACATTAGAACCTACATTTACAATTATAGCCCCTAGGGATAAAGAGAACACTATGGCGTCTAGTGGTATCATTAGGTTCGCTTTAAGGCGATATTTGTCTAGGTCCTTTTAAGGAAACACACTGACGGAGGAATTAAAAAGTAGCGATTTATTTAGCTAATTTATTCAAAATATAAAAATTTTAGCGCCGTTTACGTTGCAGACAGTGCACATTTGAGCCGTATGAACTAGTGCTCTTGATTTTTCGGAAGGAAGCTCTCCATTTGTTTGTGCTTTTCTTTTATGTGTGGGATGTTTCAGAAGAAGTTTGATTAAGTTTTATCAGTTCGCTGATTGATGCTGATGTCTAGGCTATGAGGATTTAGCCATTTCTAATATATTTTGCAGTTCTTAAGCGCTAAAGTAACTTACATTGAATTGTAAAGATGAACGCATGTCCTTATAGGCATTGCTTGAAGAGAAAACCGTATTTTTGTGTGTACTTCGTAATGATTTCCTTCCATGCAAAAGTATTTCATTTTTCCTTTCAGGAAATGAGTGCGAAAGAATATGCTCGACTCGTTCCACGGGCGCACAGGGCCAGAAGAACACCGGTGATTGACCGGCCGATGAGGCCCAGAATGATAGCTTGGGCTGGACCTGCAGCTTTCTATCCAAACAGGTAGGGTTACGGTATTTTGATGAAACTTGTAGAGGTAGTGATATCACGCGAATGGACCAGCTCACACAGTAATATGTACGCATAGGAGCCGGCATGAAAATGTTGAGGGGAGACAGTAGGGGTTGTACGACGATATGCTGTTTTGTAGCGTTAGTGCTGTGGTTTACCTCTTCGTGTGACGTATCATCCTGAGCTGAACTGTCAAATGTAAGAAAATTGATTTGGTTCTCTAATTCACATGTATGGAGCTTCTTGTCAAAACTCCCCCCCCCCCCCCCTATTCGTTCGGCCTTCGGTTATACTCTCAGTCTAATCGATAGCCATCTTTGTGTTACAGCTTTTCCGTGCTGCCCTGCCACCTCACTGTAGTACACACACAGCCTCATTTGTTCAAACTTCATTTTTCACGCCAGTAGAGGTAGAAAGAGCCGCCAGGTCTGCGGCCAGTTTGTATTCATCCCCTGAAGAGATGGTAACTCTGCACTAAAAAGTGCAGGGTTACCATCTCTTCAGACGACTGCGGTTTGGCTTCCAGTGATTAATTTATATGAAACAGTCTTTATGTACGAATTCGTAAGCATTGTTTATTCAGATTTTATGAGATTGATAAATGGTACAAGGGCCGAATCGATAAACCAGAGCAACTTCCAAAACTTCATATAATTGATCCTGCCAATCATTTACACTCGCTTTCGGAGTTACTCGAAAGACGTGAGTACCCAATATTGTTTAGTGTGTAGTGTTTGAATGAAAATTTTCCTTTCTTTTCAGAAAAGCCGAATATAACACCAATAGATATGGGCTTTGCACAACGACCGAAACGGGTCTCAGTTGCCAAAACTGATGAAGAACGTGCTGTTTTGGAACGGAAGGCTAGGAAAATGGAATGTAAGCGATCTAGATCTATTCATTATTTTCAAAGTCTGTTCTCGTCATAGTTTTATTTTTCTTTTAGTGTTGGTAGATCCCGAGACTACGGAGTTCTCAAGTTTTACAGTTTTGCAACATTATGGAATTTTTGAACACCTGTTCGGACCAGGTATTATTACACTGAACTACTTTTCCCATTTCTTGAAATTTTGCTACAAATTCTCAGTGTACATATATTCAAAAACTTTTTTAAAAACCTTCGAAAGCGTTTTGGAAAGTCTCAACAGTCGTCTTCGAGCAAAAATCGTCTTCAGGAGAATGGGGTAGTTTTAGTGGGCTAGAAAATTTCGGAACAGATGCTGGCATGAGCGCCATTACCCATATGTGAGTTAGACTTTTAGGAACATTCTTTCACAATGTGCAGGACCTCGACATCGCCTACGGCGACAATGCTGTGTATTTTGGAAACACTATATCGGCCAGTCTTCTATCATCGAAGCCTGAGGTTCGTTGGCTGTGAAGTAATTGTAGAAGGTAGAGCCTTATGAATACGAAAATGTTTCTATGAGCTCATTTTCGTCGTTTTATTTTGCGATGAGTCTCTAATGACGTCACTGGCGCTAAACCAGGCGATTGTTGGATTTATTCCGTTTTTAAGCTGGCGTTGTTGGGCTTTGAGAAGTTATAAAATTTTGCACCCACGCAATGAGGCACATATTATGTTATGGCTCAGCTTCAGGTTAAAATCGAATCTGTCAAGCCTGGAGAATACAACACTTTAATGATGGTGAATCTTGATGGCAATCCATATGAGAAGGAGGGAGAAGTTGCTCATTGGGTTGTGGCCAATATTCCAGATGGCAAAAGCATTGACGATGGCGAGGAGGTGATGATTTCCTGGCATTTCTGAGAAAGCCTCCTCTATTTTCACAAATTCTCGTCGTAGACACTTCTTTCAAGTGAATTCGCGCTTTTTCTTGCCTTATTTCAATTCACTTGTTTTGTGCTTGCAGCTGGTACCGTACCTTGAGCCGCTTCCTTTTTGTGGCACAGGCTATCATCGAATAGTTTTTATACTATTTCGGCATGAGAAACCAGTAAAGTCGCTACCGCTGTTTTATAGGTGAGTTTTATTTTTTTTACAGTTGATTTTTTATTTTTTTGTTTTAAAAAGTTTGAATAAGCTAGTTTCGGGGTCATCAGTTTAGGCGGTGAATTAAAGAGGGGCGAAAATAGCTTAAAAGTCTTGTTGGCGCAGTTTTATTCTCACAAATGCCTTCTTCACTGGAATTCCGTATGCCCTTGGCAGCTGTTATGGAGAGAGATTATTGTAGACAGTATTGATGCGAATTCGATTTAAACTTGGTTCATCACTATGTTACTCAATTGCATGGCACATTGTGATTTCATGTTTTGGACCAGAGCTATACTGACTTTACGATACATTTAGTGAGACCCTTGCTGGACGGATTTTCTCGATGTCTGCCATGTATAAACAGAATGAAGACCTGATCACACCATCATGTGCAACATTTTTCCAAACAGCATATGAAATATCTGTGAAGAATCGATTACACAAAATGGGTATGTTTAAGTTACGTTTTATTCGGCTTTTCATTTCAAGCGGTAGTCGAAGTTCAGATGTCAAATTTCCCATCTCTCTTCTACTTAAACCATTTGAGTTCTATTTCGATTTCTTCCTCTAGTCGGCTCTCCGTAATTTTTTTTTGCAGGATTAAAATCACCTATTTATGAATACCAGTATAACGAAGCTCTGAAACCGGAGCAGAAGGAGTTCCCCAAGAAGCCACAACCTTTCGACTTGTGAGTTTTACTCGAATTAAGCTCTCTTTCAGTGCATGTGGGTCCCTTTCTTTGACCTCGGCAAGATTCTGTGAGAAGTATAAATTGATTCCAGGTACATGGATATGTATCGGGATCCCAAGGAAGTGGAACAGGAACTGTTGGAGGAGAGATTACGACGTGCTCAACTTGATGATTATCAGGTATGTATAGCTTTTGCTCCCATTTTTCTTCCTTAACTGAGTAGTAGTTATTCCAGGCCCCGAAATGGTTGGATCCAAATTATAACGAAAACAAAAAAGAGTTACCTGCTTGGCAACATCGTAGAATTCTGGCCAGAGAAGGAAGATATCGGGCTCTTTATAACAACGCTTTGAAATCGTGACCCGAACAATTAAGTACATTTAGTCAGTAGTACTGTAAACTTTAAAGCCATTGTTATATAAACGGGCGCTAGAACATGCCCTGAGGTTCCATTGTATAGACCAGAATAGACCAGGATAGGGTATGCTAGAGATTATCCGCTTCTCCTTTCTTTGTTTGTTTGAAATTAGTGTTTATATATATTTTGTTGATTTTGTATGTTATTGCTACACTCATTGTACTGCTGTTTTACTTTATGAACCCTTTACATCGTAAATATAAAGTTTATAGACACAGCTTCGTTTGACCTTTTTTCAGCTCGGGATTTCTGATTCTAGAGATAAACAAGGTGATTTTGTTCTGTTGTGAAAATCATAGTGATCTAAGTTTAGTTGTAGTTTACGAGGCATAGGTTAACAGTAGCATGCTAGTTTTTTCTATTGATTGAATCGAGCCTAGCCGAGCTCAGAATCCTCAAACTTATTTGAGTTGAAACTGCTATGGTTTATTTGTTGGTCAGCAAAGGGGTTCGGCAGAGCGATATCCTCGGCCAAACCTTTTCGGCCTGGAAACCATAAGCCGCTCTGGAAAAAATCATGCTTCATTTGGAATTGGAAGGCATGGGAGTGCAAGTCAATGGCCACTGCTCACATCATCCCTGCCTTCAGACAAAATCATGCCTATGACACTGAACATCGAGCAGGCGCAACGAATGTTAGGTCAATTCGATAACGTTTTTAAAAGATTGGCTTACAGCTGAAGTCTTCATAATGAATGACCTTACCCCTAAAGAGCAGAAAAGCAGAACTTTTCGGGAAGTGGAGTGGTGCTTGGAAGAGGTAAGGGGAAGAGTGTGGGGGGAGGGAGGAGGGGTGAAGAGCGAAACGAGCGTAATTCGAGTAAAAATGGGCTGCTAATCCAGACAAAGTAAGGAGTGGTTCAAATTGCCTCAACACATGAGGAAGTAGGAGGAGCTGTAATCCAAACCTGGCATTGCTATTCAAAAGTCCTTCACATCGTGTATTTTCACTTACTTCAAGATATATAGTGTTCAAAATTCAAAGAAGTAGAGCTGTGGTAAGAGTATAGCCGTACTTATGGGGATCGATAATAACCAACCGATTTTCATCAGTCTTGATTTGTAATAAGAAATATAGGGCCACTAACTTTTAATTCTTCTTGCCGAAACAAGGAAGCCACAGTAATTGTCCATTACAATTCAAAAATAGCAGAACTTCAGCATAGAAAGAAAAGCCAGGGCAGAGGTAGCTCGTCCGAATCTTGGTAAATTGCAAAAATTTTAGTCCTCATTTTGGGTCTCGAGGAATGAACGCTCCCGCTTCACACTATTCTGAACACCAGTTAGACTCACATAGAATGCGACGTTAATTCTGTAGTCCTATGCTGACATATCCAGCAGCGTCTCATCTTGAATTCCATTTAAGCGCCAGCCACACCTGAAACTATTTCTGATACGGTGGTTGGATCCCTGCTTACGCTCCCTTTTCTTCAAGTGTGCTCCTTTTTCTAACTTTAAAAACAATCGAAAAAGTTTCGAGAGATAGAGGTATCGCATACACACATTCTGTAGGTGGAATCCGGCCCATACTTGTCCAGAACAACCAAGCCTCAAGTACCTCTAAGGCCGATTAATTGGTCACAGAATCGTCAGCGAGGATCATAGCACTGAGTTGTACAGCTACCGCGTGTTTGTATAGGCGATATACGCAGTCAAAACGTCACTACGATTCTGAATGGGAGAAGAATGTGGGGGCGCATTCCAAAAACAGACCGAATGATGCCACCTTCAATTCCTCATTACAGTAGATGACAGCAGGCAGAGTATATTCAGAAGAACCATCATTGCATATGTGAACAGATGGGAGGTAGGGTAAGAGACGGTTATTGCGACGAAATCATGAACGGGGTCGAGTAACAGGAATCCAGCCCAATACAAAATTAAGGGTGTGTTATTGTTGTACTACTATTCGCTTCAGTAAAAGTGATTTTGCTTTGATTTGCTTAGCGCTAGCTTAGATGCTTTAGCTGATTGGGATTTGCTTCTACAGTGAGTTGAATAAATGAATCGTAAAGACAACAGTCGGGACATTTAGACCGAAAGCAGTGGTAAGCCAAGCGGAGCTTGCGAAATTCCTACAACGAAGATGATTGGTGTTGTTTCAGTTCGTGATACTACTGAGTACTCTTCACCAAAGCTCTGAACGAAAGGAATGCCAGGCTGACTGTCCCCAAGAGAGCACAATCTTCTCGACTACTACGGATCGCGACAGGGACGAATGGAGACGTTACTGCGGCTCGCTCAAGGAAATCGACAATCAACGGGACGACAGGTGATACTGTTTCATTATTATGTGTTCAAGACTCCATCTTCAGAAATGTAAATAATTATATGGCAGGCCACGCACGAGGATCCGTATATGGATTCTGTACAAATTTCTATGTGGTCGCTAACTGAAAACAAATTTTTTCGGCAGCTTGTTTCTACAATCCATTACATCAGAGCGGAATTTTCTATAAAAGCCGTTCCCAAGCATGGAAATCAGCAACCACCTGGATTTCATAGTTTCTGCCCTCCGACATGTTTCTGTATCTCCTATCAATCGTACGTTTCTTTTCCACAATTCATTTGAGTAATTCTACTTGATCAAGAACATTCAGTAGATTTTCAGGTTGTGCTAGCCAATGCAATCCCTCCAGGTTACATAGGTTGTTTTGAACAGCTTTTCTTCTTGAGATTATTATGCAACAAGTACTTCTTTCAGGAAACAGTCTTCTAGCCAGACAACAGGAAGTCTGCATTAGAGTTTCACATTTACCTAGTGCCCGAACTGTTTTGCTTTCCTATGACAATTGTTTTATATTGAGGCTTCTTTCGCACGTACATATTTTTGCAGTCTCAACCGTACATTCGCAAGTGCGGCGATGGATGTACTGAATACAAATTGCTCATCGTTACCGACCTTGATAGGGCTTCAAAAGCTGGTGACTGGACATGGAGAGCTGTTACCCGACAAGGTCTCTTGAAGTTGGATATTCATCGTAACCCTCACGTGAGCATCAAGTGGGAACCAGACAGAAACTTGACGTCGTAAGTACTTAACTAAATATTTCTCTTGTTTTTTCATCGTGAGGAGGTATCTAGAGGACAGCTTGGAGAATAAGGGAAAAGCAGGTCAAGGAAAGTAATCGATATGTGAGTGCTCTTGGTTTAGAATAAAAGCAAAAGGAGTCAATTATAGTTGCAACAATACTTATGGAGCATGGAAATAGAAAGGGAATACTAGACAGTTTGAAACCTGTGCCAATTCTTTACCGAAGTATATGCCCCACCCTCAGCCCCTTTTCTGTGAACGCTGCCATATTCCTGCAGAGAAAAAACAAACTTCCAAAAAGTGAGGACTACTGATAGCACCTGCGCAACATCAACACTCATGCAGGTAAGATAATTTGGGTGAATTGCCAGTCTGGCTACCCTTTGGTTCATCGTTCATATACAGCAATAGGAGTCCCTTACAATAAGTCGGCAATACAACAGTTCTCCTCTATTTGTAAGGACAGAGATTTAAGATTGAGAGATTCTTCAAAGTATAAATAGGTAATGGGAACACGTTCACGAAGAGCTGTTGAGTTAATAGTGGGTGTAATATACTCAGTGGAGATCACTTATTCTACTTCACAATTCGACCTAGTATATTTGATTGAGGATAGCGTTTCATCGTTCGGTAATATACGCATCAAATCAACTAAATGAGTAATGCACGCAATTCAGGGCAATGAACGTCAAAGGTCGTGCAATGGAATTATCCGACTTGACGGTGTTTCACAATAGAGTACTTACCCCTGACGACAGGACCGGGCTGATCAGTGAAATCAGAGACAATCAAGTAATAGGAACTGTTTAGCCTTCATTTTATCCCTTACCTATCGGATCATGAGGCCATTCAGATTATTCCTTGGGTATTCCTGAATTCTGGTCCTGGAAACACGACTGACGCTTTCAAATGCGAATGGATGACCATCAAGGATGGTTTGCTCTACGTTGGAAGCCATGGCGTTGTGAGTGCGATTTGTTAACGTGAAGGTGCACTTATTCTGCTCAATACTTGGGCAATTCGAAATTATTCAGTCCATACTTGAAGACTTTTTACAGTATTCTGGGGAAGAGATTCTACAAAAACTCAACACATGCATTAGTTTTCTGGTATTCTTTTCAGGAGTACAAAACTAAGCATGGTACTCACCGAAACAACATGTGGGTCAAAACTATCACGTCGAAAGGAGAGGTAAGGTTGGAAGATACAAGAGTACCCGGGAAAACTAACAAATTTGCTCATCCTTTCCAAAACAGTCCTATCACCCATTCTGTCATAAACTTCCTGTTCGCCGCATCAAAGAATGCTTACGCTTTATCATGCTTATAAGCTCACTGTTTCTGAAAGGTTGAAGTCAATGGCATAATGAAGAATCGTCCCGCTGTCTTACAATGCACATATGTTCATTGCTGTTGATTTTGGTAACTTTCTATTTTGGACTATCTACTTTGCCATGCTGAAAGCTTTATGTACAGGGTGGGTCTGTAGCGAATGCATGAATTTTTCAAAAAAAAATCACGGCCTCCTTTTACGCGAGATGATACCCTCTGCACCACTTTTCCCTTTCAGTAGCAAAATATGCATTATAGTATCTAATTTATAGCTAGCTCCGGTTTTCTTTCGAAGTAATTATAAGTAAAAAAAACTTCTACAATCGTGTCTATCAAGGTCACCAACAAGAATTGGATTGACGTCTACAACAAAATGAAGGCTTCCGTCGGTATCCCTGAAGGAGGATACCTAACACATGAAGCCGTTCAGTGGTCAGAGAGACGAGGACGTTGGTTCTTCTTACCCAGAAAAGCGTCGAAAACTCCCTATAATGAAACAGTGGATGAAAAGAGGTACGTTATACTTACTTCACATAGTAAGTAGCGCACATTAAACAAAACTTTTTCAGCGGTACCAATCTCTTGATAAGTTCCACAAATCTCAACCAATTCGAGTACAAAACGGTTGGCAAAGTTGTTCCTGAACGCGGGTACTCGGCTTTCGCCTTCATTCCTGACACGAACGATGATCTCATTGTCGCCTTGAAGTCGAAGGAAGTGGGCGATTCCACCGCCACATATATCACCGTATTCAATATCGAGGGACAGGTTATTCTTCAAGATGAGGAGCTCAGTGGTGATTACAAGTTTGAAGGATTGTACTTCCTGTGAACACTTCGCTATAATAAAAAACTCACCATGCTGTTCTTTTTTGAATAGATCCACCATTCAACTTCATAAAAGCTTAGACTAAACGAATAAGTTATTGTCTCTCATTGGCCTACGTACTTCTACTCAAGTTACGCTCATTCCGCCCTCCCCCCTACTCTCTCCCTTATCTTCTGTTCAGTTAGGAGATTAAGGTCATTCTGTATTAAACTTCTTGACTTAAATACACATAGTTAGAGCATTCGTAGATATCCCCTCCGTTCAGCTTAAAAGGAGCATCAGGTAGAATCCGTTCCCCATTAACGTCGTNCCGTTGAATTCCACTCACATACCTTCCCATTCCAAATAACATCGAGCAAGTGGAACAAATGCTGGCCCAATTCGATAACGCTTGTGGAAAGTTCGGATTACGATTGAACCTAACGAAGACTATGTTCATGTGAAACGGATTGGTACCTGATTTAAGGAAACGTGCGGCGTGGGGAACATTTAAGAACATCGAGGGAGTAGTGAAGAAAACGGAGAACATCCGGCTCCGCGCTCACCTCTTTGACACTGCTGTCCTACCCGCTTTGATGTACTCATCGCAGACTTGGACTCTACGAAAGCAGGATGAGCATGCTCTCAGCGTTACTCAACGCGCTTTGGAAAGACGATGCCCGGAATTCCTCTATACACGTATGTGCAAAAGGGATGCCGAGATTGCTAGCCCCGTCATCGAACGAAGATCAGGGATGCCTGATTACGCCTCGGAACGTCAAGGGATCACCAGGACGGCCGCCAATCCCATGGTCGGACTTTTTCACGAAAACTCTGAACGAAAAAGATGTGTTGCCTCGTGTCCCTCGAGCAAGTACGATTCACTGGACTGCTCTGGCTTGCGGGCTCGCGACAGGTACGAAAGGAGAGGTTACGGGCGCCCGCCCGATGAAATCGACAATCAACGGGATGGCAGGTGATACAGGTGTTCTATAACAACTCAAATCCTGCACAAGGAAGAGCAGCGATCAAGCAGGGCGAGGACGAATTTCAAGTATTCAATCAGAGGACCAAAAAAAGGAAAGTTTCACATAAAACATAGTACGAGCAGTATAAAAGAATAACCTCTAATTAACCAGAGTGTAGTTTCATTCCATCGCGTTCAGAGGTTTAAAGAATCGGTCGATAAGACGAATCACCGCATGAGCGATGTCGTACCTCTAAGCAATGGAGTAGAGAAACAGTTCACGGCACAACTACAGCTAGATCGTCTAAATACATCCGTTTACTCAAGTGCAGTTACAAATATGTAAGAGTGTGGGCCTCTAAGGCACCATTACGGAGAGAGAAAAATTCTTACATCTCATAATTCCTAATGTAAAAGGCACCAGCATGAATGTTACTAATTATCACTTTTTACACAAAAAATGTAACATCTCACCCGATCGCACATCTGTTTTCAAATAGTACTTTTGATAGTTTTGATCCGCTTATCGTTTTAGTGCTTGAGTCTAACACGGAAATCTCCGATTACTTAAAAGTAGTGTCGAATGAAAAGGTGAAGTATAATAATATTTTAAAAAGTTAAAAAGTTAGCAAGGGAAAATCTTCAGCTAGCTTCGTAAGGCTCCAAGATGTATGCTGAGCTCAATATAGGTCTAGGAAACATTCCAGTGTCGAAGGATATGAAGATGTCCTTCTCCTCCATCAGTGTCACTCATAGCTCAAAGTCTTTCATCATAGGGCATGCGTACATAATAGTTACTCGACAGCACTTAGAGGCAGGTTTTTCTCTAGAGCCAGAGGTAAAAAATGCTCGAAGATCTGAAGCTCTTCAAGATCAGGTCAAAGAATTGATAGTCATTCGATACCCCGTCGTCGTTAATTTCGTCAGGGATCAGACTTCGATTGTGGGATACCGAAAGGCCCGATGATTCCATAGCCTCTGCTGACATATTCAGGATCTTCTCATCTCAGACTCCATTTAAGCACGAGCCACACCTGGGACTAATTCTGCGTGCGGCAATTGAATCCCGGCTTACATTCCCTTTTTCCCGCTTACGCCTTCTTCCAACGATGAAAATTGTCAAAAAAGGTTCGAACCGTGCCAAAATTTATTTATTTATTTATTTATTGAATGCGCTCAAAGGCGCGGGCGCGCTATAAAGGAAAGCTCGAGCCGCTGGTTCTGCATTACAAGAGAGATTAAGAGGTGAGAGAAACAAAATTAACGAAATGACCAAACAGAAAAATTCTTGACAGGAAGGCCTGTAGGACATGGGGTTCACATACCCCTTTTCAACTTATTGGATCAGACCTCACTACTGAAGCTCTTTGTTAATTTAGTGGCACAGTGGCAAATTTAGTGCATATGTTTCAGGGATCGAATCTGTCGTCCGTTCAGATTCGATCCCTGAAACATTTCGTTCGTTCGTTCATAAACACATTCGTTCAGAAACACGTTCAGACCCCAAAACTTAATTCCCTACAGGGTAGCTTAATTGGCCGCAGTCTCGTCAGGGAGGATAAAAGCGATGCCGATGCCAACGACTTTCAATTTTTTATCAGAGTAGGTGATAGAAGGCAGAGTATATACAGAAGGACCATCACTGCATATGTCAACGGCGGAATGGCAACAGAAAATTGTTGCGACGGAACTGTGACCGTGGTAGAGCAAAGGGTATCCTGTTTAGAATACAAAAGCAGGGGTGTGCTGATTGTTGTAACTGAAACTTACTCAAGTTAAACCTCGGTGAACGTTAGCTTGGATTCTCTACCTGATTGGGAATTTCAGTTAAAGAACGAATCGTAAACACAACCGGGAAAGATTCGACCGAAAGTAGTGATTAGACAAATGGAGCTCGCGAAATTC